GTAATAATTAGCAGTAAATTAAAGATGGATCATCATATTTAACTAAACACCCGGCCGCTGCTTCACACACCTGACTATACTGTACCACCAACATCTGCCTTTAATACGACCTATCCTCATGGCTCAAGATATCAGACTTATATGTAAATCTAAAAACAAATAAAAAATACCCAAGTAAAATGGCTCACACGAGAAAAACATCCACCAGGCAGACAAGGGGGAACCGTCCATTGAGCGGAGTGAACACAGGAAGAACCGTCCATTGAGCGGAGTGAACACAGGAGGAACCGTCCATTGAGCGGAGTGAACACAGGAGGAACCGTCCATTGAGCGGAGTGAACACAGGAGGAACCGTCCATTGAGCGGAGTGAACACAGGAGGAACTGTCCATTGAGCGGAGTGAACACAGGAGGAACCGTCCATTGAGCGGAGTGAACACAGCCAAAGAGTGAACACGAGGTCACCATCTGCCGGAGATTTGTCTTGTACATCAGGTGGAGGCGGGTCATGGTGGGTGACCCCGGGTGAAGCGATAGAGTGAGGTCAGAGTGCCATGGGGTGAAGGAGAGTCAGACACCATACTGCTGGGGTGAGGGAGAGCTACAGTAGAGGGAGGGAACAAAATAAACGCCACAGTGCCATGGGGGTGAGGGAGAGCCAAAATTACAACAACGCCACAGTGCCATGGGGGGTGAGGGAGAGTCAGACACCATAACAACGCCACAGTACCATGGGGTGAGAGAGCTGCACCACAATTACAGTGCTGGGCAGGGAGAGTCAGACACTATAACAACACCAGTGCCATGGGGTGAGGGGAGAGCCAGACACTGGCAATAAATGCGCCGCAGCGTAAGAGGGAGAGTCAGACACTATAACAACGCCACAGTGCCAGTGGGGGTGAGGGGAGATCAGTACTGCAACAAGCCACCACAGTGCCATGGGGTGAGGGAGAGCCAGACGGCACAACGCCACAGTGCCAAGGGGGTGAGGGGAGAGTCAGGCACTACACACCACAGCGCGGGGTGAGGAGAGCTGACACCATAACAACGCCACAGTACGTGGGGTAGGGAGAGCTGTACCATAACACACCTACAGTGCTATGGTGAGACAGGACACTGCTAACACACCACAGTGCCAAGCAGTAGAGAGCTGTGCACTATAATAACGCCACAGTACCATGGGGGGTGAGGGAGAGCTAGCACTATAACAACACCTGTTAGGTGAGGGGAGAGCTGACACCACACGCCATGTGCTATGGGGGGTGAGGGAGAGTTGACACTATAACAACAACACAGGGTGAGGGAGGAGTCAGTGCACCATAACAACACTACAGTGCCATGGGTGAGGGGAGAGTCAGACACTATAACAACGCCACAGTGCCATGGGGTGAGGGAGCCAGCATCATAACAACACCATGCAGTGCCATGGGGTGAGGGAGAGTCAGACACCATAACAACGCCACAGTGCCATGGGGTGAGGGAGAGTCAGACACCATAACAACGCCACAGTGCCATGGGGTGAGGGAGAGTCAGACACCATAACAACGCCACAGTGCCACGATAAGAAAGAACCTCAAGACAATTCATCTTAATCTTAATAAACAATGAAAAGATCAATCTAGAGTCCCATGTAACATAACTCCTCTCGCGTTAAACTCATGCTATTAGATTCTACACGACCACCGTGCTCTTAAGAGTGTTTGGTGGTGTAACGTAACAGCATTCGATCCTACCCGCAAACCGTTACCATAATAGGGTAAGTATATAGTGGCGCTGTTAGTGTGAGTCAACAGAGTCACCGCTGGGGATTGTCTCATATCAACGTCCTTAGTCATTGAGTTATTACATTTGATTTTTTTTTCCATCATCCAAATTCCACGAAAGTTCATACGACAATTTGGTGACAATGTGTGTGTGTGTGTGTGTGTGTGTGTGTGTGTGTGTGTGTGTGTTGACAGGCCTGCTTAACAAACAATCCGTGCTGAATAGGGCCGATCTAATGGCACTATGACACAGCTACCACAACCATCATCATCAAAGGTGTGACCAGAGTAGCCACCTTCAAGGGCGTGGCGGGTTAGAATCCTTGTGGAAGTCAGTAACTGGGAGTGTAATTACTAGTGGCGACGTGTGGCCAGAAGCACACTTACCCCTTGCTGGTATAATGACTAGGTAAGACTAGGTAACTCCCTCCCTGGTAGTCACATCAACACCGACTAGTCTCCACCCTTCTCTACCTTTCTCTCACTATCCCCTATCCCATGCCCCCCTCCCACATACTATCCCTCAACACTCCCTAACATGAATAGTCTTTAAGGTCTGCACTGTACCTCAAGTGCCACTCAAGAAGCCTTCATGAACAAAGTCACTCTCTTGTTTATCATTGTTTTCATTATGTAGTTGTATTAATTAGAATATATTTTGTGCTGTTAGGAAGATTTCTTATTAATACACCCTCCAATTCTTCACTATTAACTATATTGAGATACATTTTACTAAGTGACTTACAAGTACATTCATCAATTATGTCATACTCTTCTATAACGAACACCTCAATAACACGGAATAAAGATAAAGATTGAATTTGCTTTGATATATTCCATTTTTATCCCTCAGAGGTGTAAAGTTAGATCAGGTAGCGCCAGGGTCACTTAGGAATAGATTGTCAGTCTTCAGAATATTGTATCGTGGGTAATAGCTATACTTAAGGCCAGTCAGTGCTCCTTGTTGCAGCACACCACATCACCGCTCCCGCTGCTGCTGCTGCTTGTCTGGCAGCCTGGTGTGGCGTGCAGGGTTATATGGCGTACATTAAGAAAATATCCTTCGTTGTTTTTAAAAGTTCGGTTGTTGTCTGTTGGAGATCATATGTACAATAAACAAAGACTGACACCCAAATAATCTGGCTGGGTACTGTCTGTGTGTATGTTTTCATCATTTGTTTAAGCCAGACAGGTAAAGGATTATTTATTTGGGGTGTGTAAATTTCAACAAGTGTCATTGGATGTTATACGGTTTCTAAGACCATCTCTGTAAACTGTATCTGTTATTTCTTGTAAGTATTTCATCATGTAGAACTTTCCTTCACTTTCAGACAGACAAACAGCGTCATCCTATTGTGAATCTTGACGTTGGAAATGTTATGTAAGAGTTTGTTCGGTAAAAGTTCCGTGTGTTGTGTTCGACAAAGTCAACACAAGTCTATTGATATTGTATGTAAATTTGACTTAAGAAATGGGGAAATTTAGTGTGTGTGTGTGTGTGTGTGTGTGTGTGTGTGTGTGTGTGTGTGTGTGTGTGTGTGTGTGTGTGTGTGTGTGTTTGAGGAGCACTACAGGCCGATGATGTCACAAGCTTAGATCACAGAACTACCAGAAAGGGGAGGTGGAGGGAAGAGGGAACTGGTGGAGAGAGGAGGGAGGAGGGAACTAGTGATGATGGAAGGAGGGAGGAAGGAACTGGTAAAAATGGAAGGAGGGAGGAGGGAACTGACGGTGGAGAAAGAGAGAGTGAGGGAGGAACTTTTGGTAGAGGAGGGAGGAGGGAACTAAGAGTAACACCCAGTCATTTACCTACGATCATAAATATTTTTTTTACAATGGATAATAATAATTTCGGTGATAATCTAATTATCGCCATTTTGTTTTCCCTGTGCTAGTAAATTACCACGAACATTTCTAAGGGGGGGGGGTAGGGGGTTCTAGAGAGACAAATCTTTAAAAATACTCAATGTTGATATTTAAAACCAATTAGAATTATACGGAACAGTTACCTGGATAATTAACGTGATAGTGTGTGATTTAGCAAACTGACACTGGGTTTAATTTGTTAGTCCGTACACCTCAGTGTAGAGTAAGCAGTCGTCGCTCTTTAACGCACGGGCCGAGGAACCTAACCTAACCTAACCAAACCATTATCAAATATCGACAAAAGACGAATTTGGGATTTTCTAGTTCATATAACTTCCCTAGATAAAAATCCTTGCATTTTATTACACACGGGAAAAAAATTACATTAATCTGTGAGTGTGAAGAGTGACGTCCACAGTGCCACACTTATCCTGACACGACGAATAATCCGGTAAGTTATGGCGGGGATGAGACCAAAAGCAGTAAATCAGCTGGGCCAAGGTCAACACTGCCTGACCCGGATATTGGGGCGTGGCGCAGCTGTCCTCAACACGCACCGCTGTATAGAGACTCTCATACACCTGAAAGACGAAACTAAATCCAACTTCGTAGACTGTGATTGAAGTGTTAAGTCTCAAGTTGTTTACGGACATGCAAGAGACACGGGGCAGTGTTGAGTGAACCTAATATAACACAAGACACCCTCTCGCTAGCTTAACTCGGGGTGTCTCTACGGTCGACTAAAATGTTTGTTGAGACATTTGATATATTATTAAAGTATTCCCCGAGGATTTTCTACCCTATAAAAAGGAATGTATTTCATCCCACATACACTGGCGGTAGTCACTGAAGGCGTAGGTTTATGTGATGTTGCCGTTCACTTTCTGTTTCCCTTTAAGGATGTCGCAGGAGTAAAGAGAGGTTATTACAAGCCTGAGTTGACTACCAGCATTGAGTAAGGACGATGTTTACCTTTCTCTCCTACTCTTTTTTTATTACAGCTGAAGCGTCACTCGTTGTACTTCAAGTTACTCGTTGTTCGTAATCACACCCAAACACAAGAACACAATGGCAGAGTAAACGACCTGTAGTTCACAACCTCGTACTGGGCTTCAGGTATAACCATTCTGAACAGAGGCTCAAAAACACACCTTTGACTCCCTAAAAAATCAACAGGAAAGAGGAGTCTGGGTGTATTGGACTCACTAAGGTACAGGTCTGCTGAGTTATCAAATTAATTGGTCGGTAATTGAAAGAGTAACGATTGACAGTTGTTTGCATGGAGAAAAGATGACAGAACAAGCATCAAGTTTCCCTCCCTCGGGTGAGACATAATCAACGTGGCCTTAAAGTAACTTGGTGTTGGTCTTAC